ATTCTGCCACTTGGCCTGGGGTGGGAAGGGAACATCTCAAGCAGGGAGATGGCTAGCCCCATAGTGGCCGGCTGTCCCTGCCCTGATTTTCCATCATCTTGGAATTTTTTTGTTTCTAGTATTGTTTTAATTGTACATATGGTATGTATTTTATATATATGTATAGTTTTAATATCTTTGTAACCCGCCCAGAGTCCCCTATTGTAGGGGAGATGGGCAGGAGAGAAATCCAATAAATAAATAAACAAATAAACAAATAAACAGACAGACAGACAGACAGACAGACAATATAGTCCATAGGTCTTTCTTGAATCCTTTTTGTTCGTCTGTTTATTTTGTTTTGGTCATAAGGATTAGAAACTATATTTGAAAACAAGTAATTTATTTGGTGTACTGGACAACTATAGAAGAATACATATTAATCATGGTGTTGACAGATTGGAGATTTGAAGTTGTCATGAATGTCTTCAATTCTAATTCTGCTGGACTAAAATTCTCTCTCCTGCTATAGAGAGAACTGTTTTCCCTGAATGGGGTGAGGTAAAATGCATAATCACCCAAGACCAGAAGTAGATAGACCAAGGCAGATCTCACCATTATTTGTAGTAGATAGGCAAGGCTTTCTAATCCTCAAGTAGTAACAAAGTGATTCCCCTTCCATTATACATAAACTAAACCACTTCGGGGTAACCAGGAATAGATTTTCTGAAACCTATTCTGTTCTTATGCTAACATGTGCCAAATTCTTTAAGCATGTATGGATGAAGTTCTGATTAGTGGAATCTGAGGTCTTAGGAAGGGAAGCAAACAAGCATGCTGGAAGTCTGCGCAATAGAACTCAAGAAACTATTTGATTCTGATCTTGGGCTTGAGAGAATACATGAGTTGAACAGCTTAACATCAAAGGGCTAAGTGTCTATGGGCCATTTTCCTACTTTTTCCTCCATGCAGTCCTTTACATTAATATGAATTGTGTAGGGAAAATGACAATGCAAAGTTGACTATGCAGGAAAATACAGCCTGCAGCCATTTTAATAATCAGAGCAGCAGCTTTGGAAAAATGACCCACAGCAGCATCACACACTTGTAGGATTTGGAGACAAGAAGGCTTGCAGTCACTGTGCTCAATCTAGAAGCAGGCAAGCACATTCTCTCCCTCCTCCCCTCTCCTATGCAAGAGTAAAGGGGCAAGCACCTTGTCATCTGGTGCATTCTTCTCCACCTTCTGTCCTTCCGGATTTCCTGGATTCAAAACAAGCAAGCAAGCAAGTGAAGTCTACATTCAGATGGGATAAGATATGGAGAAAAGCAGCGTTCAGACAGGTTCCCCTCTCCCAGGGCATTGAGAATAAAATCCCACAAATCGTCATTTCCTTTCCTAGGTTTGTTTCTACGCCTAAAAGGGAGATTCATAAATTAACCCCCTCTATCTGTTTTCTCTGCTTTCCCTGTATCAGTCTCCTCCCTGTTTACAGCACTCACAAATTTAGTTCTTTATGAGCTTGATTCATTGCATTCATCTCAGTTTTCATCTTTTCATGTATTTTTTTCTAGTGGAAGGATAAAGTTTGGCTAACTGGCAGCACCTAGCTGAACTTCCACTTAAAAACCTAAGCAGAATCACACCTGGTTCTAGTTGAGCAACATCTGGAGGGCTATCAGTTGCCTCTCCTGAGAAGTCATATGGCTGAAAGTTTTAATCTGTGGGCACCAGGGTCCCATGTCTTATCAGCGATCTTCTTGCTTCTTCTGTACTTTGTGCACATGAGCAACTGTGTGCTGAACAAATATGTAGACCTAGGGCCCTAGAGGCAGCAGATGTTCTGAAGTCTGTGAACACTGACCTCCCTCTGGTTTGCCACTTTCTTGTTTTGGGGCTTCTGTTTCTTCCTCCATCATGGCAGCCAAAGGCTAAAATGTAAAAAGGAAAATATATCAGGAAATATTCATTTGGCAGTATTTATATCCCACCAGATATAAATGCACAAACAAAATACAATACTGACTAACTCCTATCCTTAACCTAGACTAAACATCAAACCTTTGACTAGATGGTTGCCTGCAAGTTCTCTTTATGGAGCACAGAGCTGTAGAAAAAGAATGATTTTGAGCCTCTTCTGAAATCACAGAAGGGTAGAACCCAAGATTACCTACAGGAGCAGCTTATTCCATAGCAGAGCTACTAAGGGAAAGGCTGCCATAGGACGCACATCCTTTGTTACTGACTGCAGTGACACAAGTTAAATGAAACTGTAGGATGCAGAGTTCCCAGCATCAAGGAACTCTGGATGGCAGATTAGTGCCTTAAGGCATTATTATTATAACAATGTATTACTTTACATAAAGAAAAGTGCAACTCAGACAGAGGGCAAGATTTCCAAGTGCCACAGTCTCCCAAGAGCAGAAGTAATACGTAAGTTAAATGTATAGTAGCATAGACTTAGGCACTGAGGAGAAGAATAGTTGAACATTTTAAATATGGTGGATTACACAAACTATTTCAGATGGGGGTGGTGAAAATGTGGCCCTCCAGATTTCACTGGGCTAAGACTCACATCAGTCCCAGCCAACATTAGTAATGGAGAGAGACAATGGGAGTTGTAGTCTAGCGATATCTGGAATGCTACATATTCCCAGCGTTTGCTTTAGAGCTACTTCTATCTTCATCCATTATTCCAGCCTTGAGAATCTCTTATGAGATAACATATGCACCACCCTTATATGCCGTGATGTTTTATCATACTGGCTTCCTACATTTTTTTTGTTATCCTGCCCTTTCTTGCGCTCCTTGTTCGCCATGATAACGCCTGACCGTAGCGTCTCAAAGACAGGGTCGTTTCGGTTAGCTGTGAAATAAACAAAAAAGTTGTAAAAATTAGAAAGGTGTTTCTGAGGATCGAAGATCACCAAGCAAGCATTAAAGTCCTATTTGATGGCTAACTTACCACCTGCGAGTTGTTGGGCGCTGTACAATGGAGAGCTGTAAGCACGGCGGAAACCTGGAGGCTGAAGAGTAAAGATAAGGGTTATATACAGGCAAGAGCATTGCAAAATGGAGACGAAACCCACTGTTCTCCCAAATTATGGAACTTAGTGGCAGAGGCAGCTATTATCCTCGAAAGGAATCTCTAGCCTTAGTCTATTCCCTTGCAGCAAACATTTTCGTAAGATGCAGAAAGAAGTCTTCTGCTGATTTATCAGAAAGTCTAGTGCAAGAGTGGGCAAAATGCAGACTTCCCAAAGCTTTGGCAGTAGCCCATAAAGCCTTTCCTAAACTTGACACTGTACTGTAATTTTCAGTGTGATGGAAATGGGAAATCATTAAATACATGGAATATTAATTCATTGCATGTAATTATTATACACTAAATTAATTTTATTTTTGCCCTGCCTATGCCTACTTCTAGTCAACTTTGCAGAGCAGCCCCTGGTATTTTACTCTTTTACACTTAAGTGTTGCCCTTGAAAAAGGTTGTGTGTCCTGCAATATAGAGACTATTGTGAAATCCCAAATTGGAAGAGAAGGATTTTCCAGAAGTGAAGGCCAATTACATCAGCCCATTCCATTAGATCCAGCAGGGAAGGCGTTATGGGTTCCATGGTCAGGAACTTGCATTTGGTGGGTCCCAGGAGGCGGGCTTTCTCTGCCGTGACGCCCTCCTTGTGGCACATTCTCCCCCCTGAAGTGAGGCTCGCCCCTTCCCTGCTGTCATTTAGGAAGCCCCTCAAGGCCTGGTTGTGTCATCAGGCCTGGGGGTCTTTGGGAAGTGGAGATGGCTCCACTGTAATTGATATTCTGCTCTCTCCCTAGGGTTTGTATGTTTTAACATTTTAAATTTTTAAAACTTCTGTTTTCATTTTAATAATCCCTTTTTATCTTTTTATAATGATTCTTTTTATCCATTTGTTATTTTATTTTGTTGTACGCCACCCAGAGTTGCTTTGTGTGAGATGGACAGCTATATAAATGTGACATATAAATAAATAAAATAAATAAATAAGGGCCCTGGTTGCAGTTGTTTTTGCATTTCAATATTCAGGAAATGCTAGCCCCTATTGATTGGACCTGCTAAAGAGAAACCTAACTGTCTGGCTTCACCCACATGACCTATGCTGTTGTTCTAAGACTTTCTCACCTTTGTTTGCTCTCATTTATGTCATCACGTTCACTGTGATCCCTGACTGGCTAAGAACACAGAAAAAAAATTGCATCCCAAACCTCACAGGACTGCATATAATACTGGGGGAAAAGCAAAAAGAAAACACAGCTGATTCTCTGGGGAGCCATTTGGTTTCCTCCAAATATGTGAAAAATGTTCATAACCAAACTTTCAGTATGTTTATAAAGAATATGTCACTAACTGCTTCAGCCTTTACTAATATACAAAAATGCTGCATAATTTGTTACCTTACTCACCCACTGCTCCCCTCCAATTCTGCATGGGGGAATTGCAGTTTCAATCTATCAAAGGCACTGCTTTGAATCCACACTAAGAATTGGAATCCATTTTTCAAAAAGTATAAAGTCCATTGTAGGGCCAGTAAGTGTACTTTCCCCCCCACATGAATAACATTTCCAGTTGACAAATAATGTAATCCTTATCTACATTGTAATGACTGCACATTTCTACTTTTTATTCTGGCATCTAGAGAAGCAGTGAAATACATCTATTTGAGGTAGTCACTTCCAGTGATTGATATTCAGATTGTGCATTATTTTATCCATGTAGAACAGTGTTGTCCAAACTTGGCCACTTTAAGATGAGTGGACTTCAACTCCCAGA